CTGCTGCTCTACAAAGATCAGCCTCTCAATTCGGGTTGATTCTGTTCACCAGCTAATTGTTTTGGTGTTTGGTCGCAGGTTTCTTGTTTTTAAAGCTCCGGCTTGGTTCCTACCCCTAACCCTTCTCCTCTGCTGTGCCAAACAACCGTTTCAGACCCAAATTAAAATAATTCAAGAATCTTAACGGTGGCGACAGCGGGCTGGTTACATAACTAATGCAGTTTATGCTCCTGGCTGAGGTCGTGCTGCTGTCAGGACCGATCACGCCACAGACACAAACACAAGATGGCCGTGGCGCTGCAGCCCTCCACCCCGGCTTTATCCCGTCGGTTCTTGTGGTAAAGGTGCAGTCCATGTCCCCTCGAGGTCACAACTAGGGGGCGATGAAGAGTCCAGTTAAAGGAGCAGCAAAGATGCTCAGTTTTACCATAGAGCTAAAGGTCAGAGGTCACTCGTGTACATCTCTACCGTCTCTTATGTAATGAGGTGATTAGTTGCAGCCCGTGAAGCCCAACTAGTAGGTCTCCGTTCACACTTAACTAAACCTGACTGCCGCTCGGCTCTGCCTTCTTAAGCGCCACCAGCAGGAGGATTGATTCATTAATCCGCTTTTTTTGATGAGTAATGGATGCATTCAACCCACTGAACTCAATAGAAAGTAATTAGCTCCTGGATTAATCTGATTAGGACCACGCCAGTCTGAGGAAAACGCCCGGGCCTACGTGGGCTGCTGTGCGGTTCGCTCGTCAAGCAGCACCTGACTGATTTACATTCGTTGACAGAATGAGGCTTCAGACCGCCGTGTGTCGTTTCTGACGCATGACGGGAGATTTCCTGAAGGCAGCAGACTGCCTGCTGTGCCCACCAGATTTCTGGACATTCTGAGTATTTTATATCAGGATTTTCACCAGGATCTGGGAGATGATGGCTGCTTTGTATGAAGAAAGCTGATTCAAGTGTCCTCCGTTAACTAACTTGTAACCCAAAGGGCACCAAAGCCCTCATTACCGTCCTCACGATTCTGTCACCACTCATGTCTAATTTCACGCCATGCAGCTTTCAAAATACACACGCAGAACAGTTTAAAATGTGCAGTTAAGTCCGAAATACTGCAAAAAAAAAATCAAGCCCAGTAGAGACGGCATTCCCTGTGGGACCATCAGCTTCTGTTGCTTCTCTAGTTTTGTCTGGTTACCATGGTGACCCTGATGATCCAGTGGTAGCAGCTTGAACAGTTCTGATTCGCCACACTTCACTCAGCTTTGATAACTATTCGGGCTGAGATAATCAGGGTAATTATGCGTTAATTAACTACAACTTGTGTTATCACACGAATTTCAAAACTTGTGGACACGACTTCTGTGCTCTCACGTATGAACATAGACGTAATTTTGGGGGGGACATGGGGGATATGTCCCCCCCACCCACTTTTTCCAAAGTCAAGTTTTGACCCCTGCCCTTTTTACCATCCAAAAACAATATTACGCTATATTAAATTGACCCTGGTTGAGCTCTAGGACCAAGCGGAAAACAACTGTTTGTATTGAAGCCTGTTTCCCATTAGAGCATACTGTAGAGATACAACCCCACCCCACACACACACTTCTAAAGTGAAAATTACGTCCATGCGTATAAAAGTGCCACGAGAGAGGAGGTTATGAACTCGTGAGTGAAAAAAGACATTGCAATACGCCGTTTCTTCTCCGTGAGCGAGCAAAACGGCATCTGCGTGATTGACTGCGTCAACCCTACCGCGCACTAAATGTGGGCCAAGTGTGCACGGTGGTGACGAACGCACGGCTCCTCCTACCGGTCTTTTTCCTGGCCTCCATTTCCTTTTCTCTACCAACACTTGATGAATGAGCAGTACGAAACTAAATAAATATCTTTTGAAAATTAAACCAACACATAAACAAAACACGTCCACCGTGTTTTAGGCATTCGTTTTCTTCTGAGGTCTTTGACCCAAACGACTCCAGAGGAGCGTTTCTGTGGAACGTTTGTCATCGTTTTGGATTAAGTAAGGACCGTGTTCTGCTCCTCTTATCAAAGCCTAAGAAACACAAATTATTTGTTGACCAAAAGTCCGGATAGTTACAAAGTGGATGTTGGAGGTTTTGAGCCGTGCATTGAACCTCTTTAGAGGTGTTGTAATTCCTGGAATTAGAGATCAGAGAAGGAAGTCTGGAATTAGCGACTGACTCCCGGCTTGTATTTACACGGCTCACGCGCTGTCACTGTGAGTGGGAGTTTTTAATTTTCAGCCTTTTTCAGAGACAACGAGCGGGCGTTGAGACGACAGGAATACAATTGACATTATCAGGCCAACAGGCTCCTTCAGCCCTCTGAGATCTAACACGGACACGCCGGATGACTTCTCCTGCCACTCCTAAAAATATCCCGTTTCCTGCTGCAGTCCGTGTGTGTTTGGTTTCAGACGGTAACGTGAGTGTTTGAGTTCAGCTCTTGGTGTTCCACAGCGGATAGCCGTGTTGTTTCCAGGAGCCTGAATCCCTCTCCTATTGGCCGGGCTGCGTCCTGCTGCACGCTCCAGTGACCGTGACATCACCGGACAAGTCTCAGCGCTGACGTCCTTTTCCACAGTCCAGTGCTCACTGAAGCTCAGCTCAGTATTATTTTACGTCTGACTGCAGGAGATGTGACGGCACAGACGTGAGCGCTGTGAGACGGAGGCCCAGACGTCTGAGGCTCATCGGGACTGTGGTTATGTGGGACAACCCCGGTGACTTAAAGGAATCCGTTTCTATTTAAAACTTAATTTTCACCATTTTACCTATTGCTGAGTCATCAGTACTTAAGGATGTGAGCTCCATGTTTCTCTGAACAGAGACCATTCAGGAAGCTTCCTACAACACACAAAACCGTAATTATTTACAACATTTTTACACAAAAAATGGCAAAAATCAACAAGCTATGAGCTCATAGATTTGGGATCATCTGGGATAAAGCTGGTTATAATAAAATGTCACCATCGTATCACTGATGCTTTTGCTGAAGCAAAGATGCAACAGGATAAGGCCGAGTATCAAGCCCTGAGGGACTCCACGATCAGTAGAGTGTGTGTATCAAAGTAATTGTTTTCATTCTGTGGTCCAATAAGAACCAAGATGGAGTTTAGCAGACTCTGCTCTATCATAAATACATTTCAGGACCACGTAAATGTAAAAATGATTGCCAATAGCACAATAAAGTTAAAATAATTGAATTTGGAACCATAAAACATCCCAATCAACATTTCTGAGGTGTAGCTAGAATTTCCCTCTGGGATTAATAAAGTATTTTTGAACTGAATTGAATCAGCTGACACTCTCCATTGACGCCAACCTTGGTGTAAAATGTAAATGCTCCGCCCCCTTCTGCCTATATGACTGAACCTAAAGGACACCCGGAACCATTTTGGGGAGCGGGTAGTGGATGTTCTGTGAACCGGAACCATCTGACGCTTTGGTCAGGAAACAGAGTTATCACCCTGATGCCGTCATCTGCAGAGCCACACTTCTGTAATCACGGGGACGCAGGAGGCACGAGGTGCAGCCGGCTGTGCTGCAGTCCCACTTTCACAGCAGAGAGCAGGATATTTATAAGCTGATCACAAGTTATCGCTGCACAAAAAACATTTGTTTCAGAGTTTGAGGTTGGCATGGCAACAAGAAAAAGCTTCCTTTGCTGTATGCTCTTTATTTGCGCAGCATGCTGCGTTTGGAATGCTGCCTGGAATAACGAGGGTTGGATCTGGCCCTTCGCTCTTCTCAGTGTCCTGCTGCTGGTCAGAACTCGGGCTCGGCGCTGCACACAGATTATGCCCAGATCTGGTTCTGACAGCTGATGCAACGGTGGACTGGTGTGTGTCATCCTCACTGGGAGAGATGGCGATATCTGTCAGACGGAGGATAGTAACCGGTTTGTGCCAACAGCGGCCCGCCTGCTGCACTTCCTCTTTAAATAACCCGATAATTGGCCTGCAGTGCTAGCTGACATGCTCATTTGACTTTGTGAAATATCAAGGTTCCTTCACTTGAAGAGAACATGCTTTCTGCGCTGCCTGTCAACATGAATCTGCATTTCGCTCGCGACATTTCACCTCCTCCTGCCTCGAGCTCCCGGCCTGCTGGTAGGCAGCCAGAGGGGGGTGGGGGGTGTAATGCCAGCACAGATTTT